ACGAAGCAGCGCTCTACCCTATCTGCTGGATGGTAATGTTTCTGTGAGAGTCTAAACTGAAGCGACCATTTTACTTTTGAACGAAATTTTCGCTTCCCTTCGTATTCTTTTTCGTACAATGTAAGAACATTGTTTTGTAAGTAAACGAATGTTTCGTAGTATTTTCAATCTTCGGGCTGTTTTAGACGAATGATTGGTATTTATTTTCTGAAACATTCGTAGCAAGTGTGGCAATGTTTCGTAAAATATATCAGAATGTTATGAACTAAATGATTTTCGGTTTCCAGTTCCCGGGATCGGTCCTCGAATGGCCTACGAATTTAAAATAAAAAATCAAAACGTGCGTGGGCTGAGTACTAAAATCGACTCTATTTTCTTGTTTGTTGCGGAGGTTGAATATGATTTGATTGTACTGACAGAAACGTGACTGGATGACCGGATCTATTCATCGCAACTTCGGATCACTTTATTCCGTCTTCAAGTGACCGATCTTCCCTGCACAGTCGAAAATCGCGCGGTGCAGGCTTTCTGGCTGCTGTATCAACTAGACTAATCAGCTACCTAAGTACCTCGCCCATTTCCAGTCTGCTGGATCAGCTCTGGATTGTCGTGGAATTTCCACAAAATATTCTCAGTATTGGCGCTGTCTACCTGCTGACTGCACGATCATCCGTGAGCATCATCGTTAGGTCTCGATTGAGTCTCTGCTCTCCCGTACTACTATTTGGCGACTACAACCAAGCTGGTTTACAGTGGCGCTTCCGGAGCAAAGTCTGAGATCAAATTGAAATCTAAATTTGATGTTGTGATTTCACTGATAATGATTACTCAGGTTTCTGTCGTTTTGGTCGTTTTAACGGTTAAAATATCAAAATTTAAAGCACAAAAATCTTCCTGTGACATCACATTGAAAACTACTTCTGCTTTCAGTGAGAGCAAACTGAAAACTAAATTTGATATTCATTTTTCCTGTTGATAACAAAACAAGTATTTAATTTGATGTTATGCTAAGGCAATCAAAACAAACCCGCAACAACATATTTTTGAAGAGCAAATGTACAGCAAAATGAAAACAAAATAAGGTATCACATTTGTCAATTGCGTTTGATGTTGATATCAAAACTTGATTTCAATTTGCTGTCATTTTGATGCTGGACTTCGCTCGAGTTGCTGTACTCTTTTAGACGGATTTAACTTACACGGGTTTAGTCAAGTAACACTTTTCCCAACCGAAACGGACGTTTGCTAGATCTTGTCCTGGCAAATGATTTCGCATTACCGGCCACTAATCAGTCTAGATGCTGACCATCCCGCTCTCATCGTGTCATTCAGGTTACCTAACTACGATTTCAAATAGACATATCTACATTCTCTCAATTCTCAATTATCTTCATCGACTCTCTCTTTCGTAAATAACTCGACAGTGAGCATGCATAAGGGCGTAAACGCGATGATCGATTCTCTTCGCCGATTTTCTCTTTTGTTAATAGCTCGCTTCTTTTTCTTCTTCTTCTTCGCATTTCAAGCTTATTGCATATCGCATATTAGCTTATTGCGTGCTCTCAACTTAATGTTCTAGATGCACTTCCACAGTTATTAATTGAGAGCTTTCGAAGCCTGTACCATTTTTGCATTGGTATAATTGTGTGGCAAGATCAATCATACTTCTATGCCCAGGGAAGTCGAGAAATTTTCCAACCCGAAAAACTCCTAGACCGGACCGGGAATCGAACCCAGCCACCTCCAGCATGGTCTTGCTTTGTAGCTGTGCCTTTACCGACTGAGCTAAGGGAGGCTAGATTTAACGTTTCTCGGTGCGTTTGCTGTTGCTTTTGAAAGCCAAAACAACCTGTTACAACTCTGCGTTGAACAAATTCTAGAAAATTGATTCGCTTAGCTGAAGCAATGCAAAGAGAAAATCGATGAAGAGAATGGATCATACCGTATACGCCCTTATACATGCTCACTGTCGATATGAAGGCGGTACACGGAGTAAGCCAAGGAGTAAACATACAGTAAATCGATGAACGTCGATTTAATTTTGTGGCACATTGAGCTACTCGCAAGTTACTCGCAGCAAAAACCGAACTCAGAGTAAAGCTGTCTCACCCCTTGTGTCATCCCTAGAAAACTTTTGATTTTTTTTTCAAATACTTCGGAATTTTCATTAATTTTTCAAGATTATTCTTTAAAGACTTTGGAAAATCTTGCACAGACCAGTATCCTTGAAAAGTTTCCTAGGTTCAGAATTTATTTTCGGAAAAATTAACTTTATTTTTTCCAAATTGTCCACGAAATTCAATGTTTTTTGTAGTTTATTTCCCGGTGTCTTAAAAATCGTTGAATTTTTTCGGTCACCCTGGTTATAATTGTTTATTTTTAGACAGATATGTAATATGTATATTTCTACTGTAGACTTTCTTAGTGTCTAGTACTCAATTTAAACATTCTGATGATATTTTTCACATTGGAAAAAAGTGACTTTAGTGACTATTTTTAGGGAAATAGTGACTTTAGTAACTTTTTGGTGTAAGAAGTGACTTTTTAGTGACTGGAGATCGCAATAAGCCGCGTTTGAAAGCTGACGTGTTTTTCTTTTGCTGCATATTTTTCGTAAGCGAATTAATTAAAATTATTTGCTTTAAATTTGTTAATTTGCGTGCTGAAATTTTATTTCAAGTGTTCATAAAGTTATCATTTAGTGATATATCGTGTTTTGTCTGTGTTTGCCTTGAATGACTCGATTGACCTTGAATTGAACCTCCAAAATATACGTCGCAGCTTCAGTTCTATTGTTTGGTGTTGGTTTTCATTGCCTCCCGGGAGCCCGGTTCTCCGAGTTCGGATGCTACACTTTTGGCGTGTAGTTCTCTTGAGAGATATGTCTGATTGGTGAATAATCCCGGGAACGTTTTGATAATATGTTCGTCGCGAGTTTTGGTGGTGATTCGGTGGTCGACGTTGCCGTGAATCAGCAAGTTTTTCGCTTGCAAAAGTGCTCAGCTGCTGGTCTCTCTCCGGCGTCAGAGATTGTGAGCAATATCAAAGATGCCTCGCTGGATACGCCCAAGACTGGACAGGTGGCAGTTGGTGACCGCGAACTGTTCCTGGGGGAAGCACTAGACGCAAACCTCCTCCTAGATGACCATGGCAATGCAAGAAAATTTGTGTTCGTTGAAGGAAGTATTACGACAAAGGTGCATCACGAAATGAGATGCAAAGCTTAGAGAAAATCAAAATTACGGAACGCATGGATTGGAGGATCAAATTAACATGGTGAGACCAGTCCAAATACATTTTAAAATTTAAAAAAAATATAAGCGAAATACGTGCCAGGTTTGAAAAGAATATTTTCGAACCCGGAAGCGTGTATGTAATACCAATATCCATTTGATAACGGTGATGCATACATGCGGGGCTTATTGTAAGTGAAAGTAACCTCGGAATGGGCGTGACTCTCCAGACATTCTGAAATGGCAATAGAGCTATCACTTTCTAACTCCCGGACTAAAATAGTGACTCTTTAGTGACTGACTCCAAAATAGTGACCTAGTCACTAAAAAGTGACCTGCTACCAGCCCTGCTAGCGGATCAATCTTGTCTGCCTTCATCCGTATGCCGGAGTTAATAAATTTAGAAGTTATCTTTGATAAAAACATCCCATTTCTTGTTCAAACCCCCTTTCGAACAACTGAGGTAAAGTGCGGATTGTGCGTAGCATGACGAAAATTAGATCTTAACCCTATCTCGTTCGGGTATGTGACATCATAGCAAAGTAAGTGGAGCTTAAAACGAACTGCATGAAAGCGACAACGAGGATGACGATGGTGATGTCTTTAGAGTTGGGAACTGCCACACTTTAGCAGGGGGTAGTACGAAATATCGAGACTCTGTCATCAACTTGGATGACAGCCGGTATTTTGTGGAAGGGTATCTTTATTTGAACGAAGTGTCGCAGTCGAGTCATGCGACCTGAATGATTGATACACAAAGTGGATCTGGACTCTGTTTGTTGAACCGAAGTCCATTTGTCTGTTTACCAGTCAGTTAAACGAGTTGAAAGGGAATGATCAAGGGTGTTAACGAAGCAGGGTAGCTTGTCATCAGCCTTGTGCATCTATCGGTCTTGATTATATAAATTCAAGTTCAATTTTTTTTTTAAGAGCAATAAACGCTACTGGTGGTCCATCAAATTTTCGCCCAATCTTCAAAATGTTTCTTTAAATTAAAAATTCGTTTCCCTAACGATATCGCAATCAAACGACATAGAATGATGCATGATTCAATTAAACCTTCTTCACGCATCAACCGGCAAGCTTCAATGACAACTATCGAAAAAAATAGAGTGTATAAATGAAATTCCTCCATGGAACGCCAAATCCTGTGATGCGCGTCCCGGTGTTTTGCGTCCAAACGTTTCAGGCTAGTCCGTCAAAACAGTGACAGTTTTATGGCGTCAATTAATCGTCTCCCGGTAGGGATGGGCCTTGCCAGTGACAAAAAAGTGTCATTTCGAGGGTTGCAAACTGTGACGTTGACGCAACTGCATCCAGTTGGAAATTTTTCAATCTAGCGGCCCACTCGTCTCATCTTAGAACCGTACAAACAAAGAGGTCGTTCGATTATGGTGAAGGATGGAGTCCATCGCCGAACAAAGGCATCTGATGAATTGTGACTGTCTCTATCTCCATTTGATGGGCAACGAGACGATGATGGTGATTGAAAAATGCATCCTAGCCGGGAAATCCATTCCGGTTCGATAATTGCTCCATTCTTCAACGGAAGGCGCAGTCCTGTCGCGGTGACAGCGGCACGCTTCCGAGATAGTTACAGTGAATTATTGCACGAGATGCATCGGCTACCACCCTCCCAAAAACCGATCGAAGCATGTCTGTGTGGTATGAATTTTCAATAAGGATGAACGGGGGATGATGGCATTCTTTTAATTTGTCCCATCGATAATTGGAACCCGTAGAGTAGTTGTACAGCTGGATACTTACAAAGAGAAATATCGATGCACCGGGTCCTCGTCGGTCGGCGGCCGCCTTCAGCTTCCCGGCAGCTTCGTGGGACATCAGCGAGTAGACGGCAGTGGCCTCGATGCGGGTTAGATTGTTGAGGCACGCGGAACACAATAGCAACGTCTGACAGCAGGTTGTTTTATCGACAATCTCTGTGGAAGAAAGACAGACAGGCAGGACTTGTTTCATTACTAAGGACATTAAAAGGGATCAGCAAACTTCAAGTGGCAAAAGCAATTAGAATAACCGCAGTGAAAACTGTGCAGCGATAAAGATTCGCGCCAGTAGTAATTACAGTAAAGTTGGGTGATGCATTTTAAGTGGACGATAATGATGACGGTGATGATGACGATTATGGTGACAAAAAAAGTGACAACGAGTCAGAACTGCAGCAGACAAACACGCGGCGATAGTCAAAGTGGCACTTGGACATCGGGAAAAGAGTCGTCTTCAATTATAATGTGTCTTTGAAAGAATAGCGTGGCGTCTGGTTTTACAGCTGCAGCTCCTGATGGTGACGACGACGACGGGGGGGTTGAATTCCAACCCGAAGGATGACTGATTCAGAGAAATTTCTTCGGAAAATGTCTTCGGATGAAGTTTTCCAGATAATGGGTTTCGCTGTTGGAGCGAGGAACAATGTCGTTTGATTGTGGATGATTAAAAGTGACAATGAAATGGATGCTTGATGAGAAACAATTCACAGAAAGAGTAATTGCTTTGGACTGGAGTCATTAAGCGGAGGAGCAAATTTCAGCCGTCCATGATCCTGCGAGGTTAGTGAGCAGATAAGATGCAGTAGGAATCTATATTTGCGCCAACAAATGATGATGAACAAGACAATAACATGCCTTTCTGCAATATAAGGCTGATATGCGACTAATATACAGCTTGGATGCCCTATATTAATCTTACATTGCAAATAGGGTAAATAGACGGCATTTAGAAAAGTGACGTGGCCTGATAGGAGGTAGAGATGGGCGATTCGCTCCCGAGCTGTTCTATAGACCCGATTCTTTAAAATGAGCTGATGACCCGTGGTTTATTTTTTAGGAACCGCAGCTCATCAGCTACACACACCACAAGTCTAAACCATACATTCCATCACTCATAGCGGAACTTTAAAAAAGGACACATTACTCCACTTACGCATTGAACAGTTTACCGCGTAAACCAAGACGCGCGCGTAATACAACATGTGGCTACTGATCGACAGCACCAACGGTAAAAGCAAACTTCCAAGCGGCTGTTTGGGAGGGAGAGAAATATGTACATGTGCTACACGATCTTAATTTTCTACTGGTAATATCCAATTTATGTATGTACCCGGCTCTTATTGCTGATGTTATTCCTCGAGCATATGTGCTCTCATCTCTCCTCCCATCATTCTCTGGGGGAGCGGAAGATCCGCACAAAAGCAAATTCCCGAAAATCGAAATGCACAGCTTATCAGCTCAGCTCCGGTTCCGAATCATCGACTCGAATGATTCACTGGGAGCTGTTTAGGATGACAACTCTCGGACCCGTTCAGCTCTTCGGATTTTTTTTCTCTCTAAATTCTTCACGATTCAGATCCGGATCCGTATCTGAGCTGATGATCTGAAGCTGATGATCTTGAGCTGATGCCGAGAATAGTGAGAGAAATTCTGCTGGAGAATTAACATCAGAAATAAAATTTGAATTTAGACTGGATTTCATAGCTTGAGAAAAGGCGTAACATCGTGTGCCACGTTGTCAATCATATCATCGCGTGTGACATAGGTGTAGCTCTCTCGCATACATGTTTTGTTTTACTGCTATGTTGTTGGCACATTTATCGCACATTTTGGTTTACGCAATGTTGATCACTTGTTGCGTTTCTTAGATATGAACTAGCCTAAGGCTAAAAATCTCTTTAATAAAGAATTAAAAAAAAAAAAAAAAAAAATGTTGCGTTAGTAGCGTTTTCCATTGAAAAGTAAAGCCATGTTGTAAGGTAGGGATTTATTGGTTTAGACTACTTTTACGATTTTATGCAATTTTAAGCACTAAAACCACTAATTAATTTTTCGATTTTGAATTTGTGTCATAATTTCTATAATTTCAATGTGAGCTGAAGAGCTGTTCAAAAGAATCGACTCCGTTTAGTGAGCTGGATGGGTTTTATCCACTCAGCCAGATGAGCTGTTTTGCCCAACTCTAATAAGAGGAGATGGTGCACAGTGAGACGGAATAAAAAAAGTTGGACATGGCCATTTTTGTAGAATTTTGATGTCGTCCAGCATGTTTCTTCATTTTTTGAGTGGTGAAAATTTTCGCTTGAGAGTGGGGGGGAGGTATACAGTCAGTTAAATATTCCTGAAATTCATGGAACTGCCCATAAATTATCGGATCTAATTCTTCAACATCTTAGAACTTCCCCAAAAGTCTAGACTATCCTTGATGTGTTACGTGTTTTCCTGATGTTATTCGAACTGCCCCAAAGATCTCTGAACTTCTCAAAAGTTCTCTAGACTTCCAGAAATTTTCAAGTATTTTATAAAACTTCCCACTATTTTTCTGAAATTAAATGAACTGTCATGAAGTTCCCTTAATTTTTTTAAGTTTTTTAAACTTTATTGAATCTCTAGAAACTTTCCCCAAATCTTCCTCCAATTTGTAACGGCTTTTCGATCGAACGAAGTCAGTTTTTGAAGTTTTCACTGTTCACTGAATAATTCACGTGTATTTTCGTAACCATTAGACCCCAATGTGTCAGTAAACTAAACTGATTTCCTTGTATCGGCGAGACGACGAATCATGGCACATAAAGAATAAGAGAAAAATAAATCTTGCTTCATCGATGATCAAATACGTTCACACAAACGATTTACTACTGACGGAATCATCGAAAGAATCTTTATATTCGTGTGTACCATTCCGCATGGATTGCACAATGGTCCCAAAGCCGTATTTAGGAAGACAAAAATGTTTGCGCTAAAACCGTTGATTTTAGGCATATGGTGTCTGGCGGAAAGTTTCTTCATATTTTTTGGCCAATTTTTTTTTAAGTTGGTGAAATTAGGGTGGTCCATAAAATTGGTGAATTGAAAATGTGATTTTTTTTATTATGTGAGATAGACCAGTGCAATGTTTAATAAAGTTGCAGAACAATCAATTTGCGGCACCTTTGCTCAAGCCACCAAACTTCCATCTCTTATTATTCATGAGTTATGAATATCTTTTCATACGTTCATTTCTCGGAAAACAAATGTTCTAGACACTTTTAGAACTTTCAATGGCAAATATTTTTACTGAAGCAACCAAGTTGGTATCTTTTTTATTGGAAAGTTAAAGGTGATTTTCTTCAAAAAACTGGCATTTTTCAATTGTCAATATCTCTAAAAAGAGCAAACCGACTTTAAAGTTTTCAATTCCATTTGAAAGATCATTATTTTGTTCGATTTCGGTGGGAAAACTGCGAGAGCGATTTTTGATTGAAACATTTAATTTAATTTTAAAAATTCACACATTGTTTTCTTGCGAAAACTTTGTTCTAAACACTTTTAGAACTTTTGATGAAGCACAGTTTTGCCAAAGCAATTAGGATACTATTTCCTTTGTATGAAGAGTTATGGCAGTTTTTTGCATAAAAATATGAATTCTTTTTAAATTAAATTTAATGTTTTAAACAAAAATCACTCTCGCAGTTTTTCCACCGTAAATGAACAAAATAATGATCTTTCAAATGGAATTAAAAACTTGAAAATCAGTTTGCTCCTTTTAGAGATATTGACAATAGAAAAATGCCAGTTTTTTGAAGACAATCGCCTTTAACTTTCCAACAAAAAAAAAAGATTGCAACTTGTTTGCTTCAGCAAAAATATTTACCATTGAAAGTTCTAAAAGTGTCTAGAACATTTGTTTTCCGAGAAATGAACGTATGAAAAGATATTCATAGAAAACCAATTTTTCAGGGGCCACCCTAACTTTCTTGTTTAAAAAAATCATAACTCATGAACCATAAGAGATGGAAGTTTGGTGGCTTTAGCAAAGGTGCCGCAAATTGATTGTTCTGCAACTTTATAGAGGATTGCACTGATCTATCTCACATAATAAAAAAGTTCACTTATTCAATTCACCAATTGTATGGACCACCCTAATTTCACTAACATAAAAAATTGGCCAAAAAAGTATGAAGAAACTTTCCGCAAATCAACGGTTTTAGCGCAAACATTTTTGTCTTCCTAAATACGGCTTTGGGACCATTGTGGATTGTGTGCGTTAGTTTCTGTTCATGATACATCTGCGTATCGCAGTATAACACAGGCGAATGGTTCATATTCAGCAACATGTAATGACATTAAATATGGATGGTCAAAAGCTGTTGCATAAAGTGAACATTAACTTGGGCTATTGGGGGAGATTTGTATTGTCACTATTGTCAGGTTATTAAATTTTGCGTATACATTCTTAAGGGTTGGTCATATATTATCTCGCACTTTGGGGGTGAGGGGGTCTAAGATTTTTTGACATTAGGTAAAGGAAAAACGTCACGGTAGGGGGGGGGGGTAAATTTCTCCTCGATTTAGCGTGACATAATTAATGCATGGGCCCTAAGAAGTATAACCATTAAAATACTATATTCCTGAAAACTTTGTTCTTGACTGTATTTTCTTAATCGGAATGTTAAGGCGTCGTCCACTGTTGTGGTGGTGTGGCATGTGCTAGCATGTCAAAACATCATGACAACATTCCTCTCACGCCACAAAACATGCACATCAGTGGGCACCTCGATTAATGTCAGACACTCACTGTCCCGCTACTGTGCCGGCGATGTGGCATGTCTTTTTTTTTTTTGTAGTGATCCAGTGGCAGCAACTTGCTAAAACTCTACACTGGACCCCTTTTATTGATAAATTTTGCTTCTATGAGCCTCTATTTTAAATCAACACACAGACGTTCCTAGGCTATGGTGCCCGTTTGGTCACTGTTGTTTTTGTGCTGATCCAAATAGTTTTGATAATATAATTGCGCATTCTTTTTTTTTAAGGTTGATTTTGTCCCAGTCTTGTCTTCTGTCGTCACTTATTTTGTCATTTTGTCTTGTGTATTAACCCCCACTTGTCTTGTTTATTCTGTCAACTTGTGTCTATTGTCCTTCCCCATCTGTTACTCTGTCATGACTAATTTC